CAACAATATTCCATATAAGAACCTCAATAATTAATCATGATCCAATAATAATAATCCAAGGGAAATAACCTCTATCAATAATCAATAATTCAGTACCAACGAAAAGCAATAATCAATGACAACGCAATAATATCCAAGTTCAGTTCAAAGCGGAAACATTTATTCAAATTAAAGACTACCACTCGCATCTCTTCTGCCGTGTCGCGTAAACTAACCTGCATCCATGAAGAGCAGGTGGGGATGAGCACAATAGGAAAGTCGAGGTGCTCACCGCTATGCAATAATTAATATCAATAACTATAAAACAATTTAAGTATGGTCGCAGCATGTATACGAATCAATAATCGTCCCATCTCCTATCAATAATCAATAATGATCTCATGTGCACACCTATAACAATAGACTACTGCCGAGCTATATACTGAATGCCTTCCTCGAAGGCCTTACAACGAGTGCCCGGCCAGCAGGAGCAATAATCCATCCCGAATGCCAAAACTCACGCCTTGGCCTTACATACGAGGATCATCAGCCAAGGCTCACGCCCTGACTGCCAACAGTAATAAAGGAGACTACCCGAATGTACGTTCTATAGCTACGGGGATAACCGTTCGACGGCCAATATAGCTCACATCGAAGGCTACATGTTTTACATGCATACTTTGATCATACCACAGCAAAAACAATTAATTAAAGCATAGCAAATTTTACAATTACAACCCACCTGGTAGCAGTTGATAAAGCAATTAGTCAGAAGGTCGTAGGTGGTCGAGACGCTGCTCTTCAGACACCTACATAAGTCAAGACAGTCCCATAAGCAACTATCTCGACTCTTGCACAGATAACGAGAATTATGCTTAGTCGAATAACATCGACTAAGGAACTCGTGGAAGTTGTGGAGTTGGAATATTAGGACGACTCCTAGACTCGACCAATTAATTACCAAATCAATTAATATATCACCTAAAAGCAGGCAATAAATGTTCGACACAAAACGGGTCAAAACGGTTAAAAAAGCTAGTTCGAATTATATAAGAATAGGGCTAAGGGGAGTTGGACTTGGTTATTTTAATTTAAATTTTTACAGAGTGTTAAGGGGTGAAAAATACATATTTTCACCAAAGGAAAACCATTTAACATGCTCCTAACTATTTTAAATAATTTACTCAAAATCTGACATGAAATCAAATTAAATCATTTAAAATAGCTACTGCTCGAATTTAAATTTCAAATTTTTACAGCAGCAAGATAATCTAGAGAAAAACAACATATTCAAAAATTAGCAAAATCGGACAGGAACTCGATTTTTATATGAATTTATTACGAAATAGCCCAGAATTAGTTTTCAAGTTTTGACAAGGCTACATGCCATATAAAATTCTCAAATTTTAACCACAAGTACTACAATTGCAACATTAGAACATATCCAAAAATCAGAATTTTTGGATAAACACACGATTTATAGTGATTTTAACAAAAACCGGCTGCAGCACGTTTTTCAAAAATACATAACTAATTCAATACACATCGAAACGACGCGAGGCCAAAGGCGTTACGTAAAGGACAATCCTAAGTCCAATAATCCACAGCACTTACACATAAAATACTACTCAAAACTCAGTTCGATAATTTTTTTCAAAGTGACGGCAATCACTTTGATACCCAATATTAACAGTATATCCTAATAACACACGAAAGCATTCCGAACGCACGTAATTAATTCGAATATCATACGATCAGCAACGTAACACAC